TTTTTTTTTATGTGTATGTGTGTGCGGTGGGTAGTGATGTTGTGATGTTGGGGGGCCCCCGCCGCCGATCTCTGCAGATAGGGGTGCCCCGTTGGAAATAAAGGTGAGGATCGACGGCGGCTCTCGCTTTCGTTCAGTACTTACCGAAAAAGTATTCGTCTGCCATTATTTCTGGTGGATGTTTGTAGAATGTGATTTGCTGCAGCACGTGACTAGAGCCGGCGTTTGCGAACGGACGACGACACTTGAAAGAATGATGTGAGTGCAAATGGCGGAGTGGATGCGATGCGCGCTTCTGCTACGTTGCCGCCTCTCGTCCACCCATCACGTGCAACGGTTTCATCCCCACCACTTCGCATCTCCACCAATCGTCATCATTCTTTTCGAATGCGCGTTGCCGCTCGTTTCAAACGAATTGCATTCCACGAAAAGAAAACAACAACAACAACGACGACGTTCATCATCAAACGTTGTTCAAAATTACAAAACAAAGACGTCGTCATTATTATGATAATTATCATGATGATGATGATGTCGTTAGATCCAAATACACAGTAATTCCATCTCGAAATCAAAATGCAAACCGACTCGCGGCGCTGCCACCACAAACTTAATAAACAAATCAGTTGCCAAGGCGATGTTCAAATTACAGTACTTATTATGATCGCGGGGCGGCGCTCAATCGAAACATGAATCAGACATGAATAAGAAACACAAGAGGATAAACCAAGAGGAGGAACATCAATGTTTAATTAACATTAATTTAACGTTTTTCTTTCTTTCTTTCTTTCATATAGGTCGCCGTTCGTTTGCTTCTCTACCTGATATTCACCCTTGTTGCCAAGGACAATTTCTCTTCTGGGAAACTGAAAGAGGGTCTTTCTTTGTTGTTGACATTTGTGGCTTGCAGATGGAGACGATAAAAGAAAAATGATGAAAGGTGATTGGTCCAAAAGTTATTCTTTTTTGTTTGTTTCAAGGATCCTTGCCATCTTTTGTTTATTGTTGTTGTTGTCGTCGTTGTTACTATGATTTGAACGTCAGATATTTTTGCATGCGTGTGTGTCAAGAATTGCATATATAGAGAGAGTGTTGAATGTATTATGAGGATTGAGCAGACGATCGAGAGCGTGTGCAGAGATAGTTAACTCGTTAAATAGGAAAGATCGCCTGGTTGTTGTCGTCGTCGTCGTCGAAGGGACGGCGGAAGAAGCGGCGGGAATCGATGGAGGGTAGCAGCGGTGGAGGAGACAGAACGCTGCAGCAAGTCAACTTTGAGTCGGAGCTGAGTCTGCTGAAGAGGCAGATCGACGGGCTTCAGGTGACGGTGCACTCGATGCAGCACGATACAGAGAAGAAGGACAAAGCGATCGCCGCCTTGGCCAGAGACAAAGAGCAGTTGGCGATCGATCTGAAGAGACAGAGAAGATCGAACGCTAATCTGAAGCAGCAGCTGGAGGATGAACGACGATTCTACTACAAGGAGAAGGAGCAGTACTGCAACGAGATGAACAGTTACAAGAAGTTGAAGAGGCAAGAAGCAGCAGCAGGAGGTGGAGGTGGAGGAGGCGGTTGCGGTGATCACAAGAAAGAGTTGTCTCATCTGAAGAACACGCTGAATCAGACGCTCGAGGCCAACTACAATCTGAGCGTAAAGTTTCTGAGGATGAAGAGCTGCAAGTCGAGCCTGAAGAATCGTCTGGCGAGTCTCGAGCAGGTGCACGAGAGGACGCTGAAAGAGTGCAAGGCCGATTTCGAGAAGTTGCAGAACGAACTGAACGAGATCGTGAGGAGGCAATTCGCCAAACCGATTCCGCCGAGCAGCAAGAAATATCTGCAGATCATAAAACAGAACGGCGCCCTCATCCACGACAATCTCTGTTTGCAGCTGGAAATCGATCGACTGCATCTAACGTTGGACAGGATGCGAGTGCACGAGCTGAAGACAGAGACGAACAGCAAGTTGCAGTTTATACACAACGGCCGGAAGACGACGACGACAACGACGTGCTTCAAGAAGCCGTCACAGAGCGGCGGCGACTGCTCCGAAAGCAAGCTGACCACGTCGTCGACGACGACATCATCAAGAGAAGAGAGAAAGTTGGCTCAGGTACAGGAAGAAGATGATCTACAACAGCAGCAGCAGCAGCATTTGAGCCCCAGGTCCGCCAAGTACGAGCTGATGACCGTCTCGAATTCGAGCGTTTCCGAGAACACTTACTACACGAGCGTCAAGTGCTGCCAACCACCATCGATGGGGGCGGTTGCCGCTGCTGCTTCGGTGGCCTATCGCACTCAATCCGCCCCCGAGATCGTCCGAACGAACAGCGACAAAACAAATTAACTCGCTCCTCCCAATGTACTTTATAATAGGTTTCCATAACAACAGAAATATGCATCAGTTTTTTATTATTATTATTATTAATATGGTTTGCGTTGCCATGGAGATTATTGCTTCAATTTTGAAATTGAATGGGGGAACGTTGAATGAAAAAAACAACAACAACAACAAATTGAGGATTCTCAGGTTAAAGTAAATATTTGTATATTTATCCCTTTTCAATGGTATTATTATGACTTTGTTTGCCACAAGGAATGATGATCACACATCTATCTCCACGTCGTTTCATTCTTTAATGCATTCGTACCTATTTTGATTACAGCTCAGCGTTCAGACGACGATCTTTAGTAGTAGCTCCGATCTGCTTGATCGCAACCGTGCATATCTCGATGCCATCCTCGTCGGCCGGATCCGCTTTGACCACGTTCACCAGGAACGTGGTCAGTATGTTGTTGTAGTTCAAGGCGAGCAGTCGATTCCGCACCTCCACCTGCCGGTACTGCTCGATCTTGTTCAACTCTTTCTCCTCCTCCACCTGCTCCATCTCGTTGAGGAGGTCGCTAAGCAACGTGATCACTTTCAGGCCCACCTTGATGTTGCCGGACTCGATCAGATCGACGAGGTTCTCGAAGCCACCGCTCTCGCCGAACTTTCGTTGCGCGAACGGGAACCTCCTGAGCACGCTGCCCAGAGCGTACACTGCCGACGACCTCACGTCGGGATTCCTCTCGCCGAGGAGTCGCTGCAGCATCGTCAACGTGTTCGTCTCCATCGCGTGGATCTGCACCTTGGGGTTGTTCTGCGCCAGCGAGCCGAGCAGCACGAGCGTCATTCGCTTCAGCTCATCCTCGTGCTCCTCCTCGTAGTCGATGAGATTGGAGCCATTAAGGTTATGGTGGATAACCGTCCTGAAGCCGTCCAAACGGATGAACTCCAGAGCGTTATCGTACTGGTGGCCCAAATACTCCAAGTCCTCGAGCAGTTTCAGAGAGGCGCCGTTTTTCTCGTGTCTATCCACCAGCTCCTTCAAGACTTCCATATCAGTCTTTGGGACGACGTTGGCATCGCGCAGCTCCTTCTTGATCTGATCATACGATTTGAACTTGACCTTCTCCAAATTAACACCTGGCAGAAGGTGATTGCTTTTCTTCTCCTGCGAAGTCGTCGCCACAGTCGTAGCAACTGCACCCGATTTAGATTTGCTACCACCGTCCAATAGTTTGGCCTCGTTCAGCCCTGTTTCCAGGTTCATCCTGACATGCAACCCAGCGGGGATCTTCTGACCTGCAACAAACCTTTCAATCATCATTCTGCATGCACCCTAACAGTAGCAGCATACCTTTCTTAACAACTTTCCATTCATCGGTGGGCACAAACACCTCATCTGCACCATCTTCCAACATCTCCTCTCGATTCTCCTTTCCACTTATCAGACCAACATACAGGAGGATGCAGACCACCCCAATTGCAATCTTCGTGTAAGTGTACTCACTGAAAATCTCCCTCAAAGCTACCATCGTTCAGCGTTCTCTCTCCTCAACGCATCACACAGCAATTTCTTTCTATTTTGTTTTACTTTACAATTTTACTTGCACACATAGCACACTCGTCATGCGTAAAGTATATATGGACTCGGTAGTTCATTTAAATCGCAAACATTTATTTTCGCATTGCATAGAATTTCTATTCGACTGATCTCCTCAATACTGCTCAATACCATTAATATAGATTAATTGCGAATTTATAATCGTTTCAAATTTAAATATTTCATCAAAATAATAATAGTTCAAATGGTTTTCATTTCTGTTGGCAATTTTGATTTTCTATTGGCAGCGCTGCGAAAGAAATAAAAAAAAAATGATGGCGTTGTTTGTTATTGTTGTTGTCGGTGCGTATAGGAGAACCTTAAAAATCTCGTGCTCGTGGTTATGATGATGGACCTGGAGGGAAGCACGGAGAAATCCGCGGATTTCACGAACACGGACGAGACGAGTCTCCTGGTGATCATAATGGACTCGAACCCGGCGCAGCGGATCCTCCGCGAGAATCCGCACGTTCTCACTCAGTGCGTGGACTCGGTGATCGCATTCGCCAATGCCCACCTGATGCAGAAGGCGCAAAACAAATTGGCGGTCATGGCATGCCATTCGAAATTGAGGTAACAACAATACCAAATAGCATACATACGTATATTGTAATACATATATGTTTGATTGATAATAGCGAATTCATCTATCCTGGTCCCGGGAAGCAATTGGATGTGAGGCAAATCGATGGACAGTATGAGGTATTCACATTGGTGGAGAAGACAATCAAACAGAATCTGGCCAAGATACTGACCTCGGAGACGTCGACAGTGATCACAGAATCACTTCTCGCTGGGGCCATCGCAATGGCCCTCTGTTACATACACCGTATCAATAGGATTAAAGCGCCAGGATTGAAGGTGAGTGTTGCTTCTATTAAAACTTGAATAGATTGTTGAACTTATTTGATATTACTAGCTAAATAGCAGAATCCTGGTTGTGACAGGGAGCGGCGATTCGGCATCGCAATACATGAATTACATGAACGTGTTCTTCACGGCGCAGAAACAAAATGTGGTCATCGACGTGTGCGCTCTGGATCAGCACCTGAGTCTGCTGCAGCAGGGCTGCGACATCACCAGCGGCATGTACCTGAGGGTGCCGCAGATGCAAGGATTGTTGCAGTATCTGCTGTGGGTCTTCCTGCCGGAGCCACCGATCAGGCAGAAACTTGTCTTACCTCCACCCGTTAAGGTTGATTATAGGGCGGCATGTTTCTGTCATCGCGAACTCATCGATATTGGCTACGTCTGCTCAGTTTGTTTATCAAGTGAGTTTTATATAATATTCAATTATCATTTATTATTTATGTTAACTATTTTTTACTTTCAGTTTTCTGCAAGTTCAGTCCCATTTGCACCACCTGCCAGTAAGTTAACAATAGGCATAATATTTATGAAATCTAATTTAATTATTTTCGCAGCACTGTATTCAAAATCCCGTCGCTGGGCGTCAAGCCGAAGAAGAAAAAGCTGAAGATCTAATCTTTGATCTCGATGATTTCCACGACGTCGCTCTCCCAGTCTATGTAGATCTTGACGTCGCTGCAGTCGCCGGTGATGGTGCAGAATTCGGTGCAGGAATGGTTCAGGAAGCCGACGCCGAAGAGCGGTCCATCCTCGTTGAATATCGCCTGCAACGGCGTCACCTGCAGCAGTATTTTGATGATGTTTTTGCGATAAGGTTTCGTGTCTGCAAGGGTTAACGGACGTTTTGGGCGAGCTGCTCGTACTTGAAGAGCTTGATGTAGCAGTCGTTGGAGACGGTGACGATCTTGAAGGTGGCGGCGAAATCGAGCGCCGTAATTTTGAGCTTGTGCGCGACTGTTCGCAGGCAGAAGCTCTCGTCGTTCAGATCGAAAATGCAGAATTCGCCGCTCGCATAACCCAACACGATCAGACCGAACTTGAACCTGAGCGCGGATGGCGTCGAGTGGAGGCCGTGCACGTCGATCTTCCGGATGATGTCGAATGCTCTGTCGTTGAAGCTCCAGAGGTACGTGATGAATTCGGAGGAGGAGGCCATGAAGTTGCCGTAGCCCTCCAGAAGGGTGACGGCCTCGTCGTGAGCGTACACCCGATTCACCACTTTGAAATCGTCGTCGCCGACGACCTTGAATATCCACACCGTACCCAGGTGCGTGCCCACGCAGAGCACGTCGCCCTTGAGCGTGCATATCCCGATGTTGTAGCCTGCAAACGCAAACATTAATCTCACGACACTGCGAATTCGTCGAAATCAATCCTACTGTTCTCGTCTCCCGTTTCCCTGCACGCGTGCCTGTACACCAGGTTCGAAGCCTCATCGTCGTAAATGTGAAGCCCGTTGGTGGACAGAGCGACAAAGTAATACTTCCCCGCCAATTCGACCCATCTCACCTGCAACGTAATTATTCACACACCTTTCTTTATTATTTCCATTTTTGTTTATTACTCATCGGACAACGACAACAAAAACCTGCTTGATGGTGCCTTTCTCATCATGCTGCTGCTGCTTCTGTTGATCGCCCTTGAAGATCGGCACGTATTTAGATCTGCGTGTCGTCGACGTGATCGGTATCACGTTGACGTACGAGTCGTGGAAGACGGCGAGCGTGTCCGAAAGGACGTCGTCATCTTGCGACTCTCGCAGCGCCAGATTTCCAGGAATCGGACTCGCGCTCGTCGCCAGACTCAAGCTGCTCTTGCTCACGTACATTCCGCTCGCATCAACCCGGATAAGTGTCAATTAGGAAAAGCCCACTTTACCAAAGTCGACTGGTTGCCAACGTTAACAGACTTATTACATATTATTTATTTATCGCAGTGTTTTTCTTATCACTAACCATAACACATCCCAAAACACACTCTTATTTCGCGTAATCGCATTTATATATAGTTCGATTTATCTATCGTTCAATGCAAGAGTAAGCGTTTATTCTGTTAATGAATCATAATATTCAATTAGATTTGTTTAAAAATATCGGTCGGTCGTTTCGGTTCAATGATCTTTTCATAATCATTGCGAAACGTTATTTTCCATATCGTATATTTTCGCAAATTGTTTACCTACCTTTAATGTCAGATTTACGATATTCCTATTGGTTGATTTCGTTGTGCAACTTGGGTTATCTACATTACTTTTCAAAATTTGAGAAAATCAAACAATATTCTTATTAAAGTAATATATATATATTTCATTTCATTCATGTTATACACACTACATATATATATTTATACATAATAACACATTTAGGAAAAATATATTTATTTTACAATATATATATATATAATAAATGATCAAATTTTTTGTTATCGGAACGAGCGTAGATTATCATCATTGATGATGTTGCACACTCACTCGACACTATATATTTGTATGTATTGTATATCTCTTGCTTACATATACACAGAACAGACATAATTTTATACTTTTCTTTTTAAGTACTGTAGGTAATCATAATAATATAACATGTCTCCCACTGCTCTGTTCGAATATAATTGCGAAATACAAGTTGACGAAAGTAACAGAAAATCATGGGAAAAAGAAAAAACAGATTAATATCACATGAAACAACAATAATGATTATTAGTTCATTAAAACTAATATAACGAAAGAAAAAAAAATGTAAAAAAAAAACAATAACTATTACTTGTTTTGTGTGTGAGTGTGTGTGTATATAATTATAATAGTAATAGTAAAAAATAATTGTAAATCTCTATATATTTATATAAATCTAAAGTGTATTTGGCACGAAAAAAAAACTAATATAATATAAATCTGCTTGTTTGTAGGAATGACGGAGCACAATTTCCAAGAATATTTACAAGTGGATCATCACTTCCTTCTCTTCTCTTTCCCGGTCTACTCGAAGACGCTGGTGACGAACGCCATGATCGCGATGCCCGCCAAGAGGGCGGACAGCTGTTTGAAAGATTCCTTCGGGTCGTCCTCCTTGAGGAGATCCGGCAGAACGGTGACGAGTGCGATGTGCAGGAAAGTGCCCGCCGTAAATGGCATTATCCACGAAGTCCGAGCCTCTGCACCACGCACAAAGTAAGTTAATATTAATATCGATATCGGATTGATCGTTAATTGCTCGGTTCATATGTACCTATAGAGTTGGATGCACCGCTGAATGCGATCGCGGCTATCGATCCGAGCAGACCTCCGCCGGCGGTGATGAGTTGCAGTTTCGCCGCCTCCCAGCGCGAGAAACCCGACTTCAAGAGTATGGCGAAATCGCCGACCTCGTGCGGTATCTCGTGCACGAGAATGGCGAAGGTGGTGAGACAACCCAAGCGGAAGGAGACGAGGAAGGCGCCGCCCAGCGAGAGCCCGTGCGTGAAGTTGTCGATCATGTTGGCTATCAAGTTCAGGTAACCCGTAATCTGCGCAAACATATTATATTATCAATTTCTGTCCACTGACATTGTTATTGTATGTTACATGTTTCTTGCCGTTGGCGACGTCCTTCTTATCATCCGCCACTTCATCCTGTTGTCTCTTCGTGTAGCCCTCGGTGTTGTTGTTGAGCTGATGATGATGGTGCTTCTGATCGTCTTCAGCCTTTGCTTCCGCTTCGGAGATTTGCGTGATCACCGAAAACACCTTCTCGGCTATTACAAATATGAGCAAGCCGGAGAGGATCAGCAGACCGCTGTACATGGACGGTTGTCCGCCTGCATAAAAGGTATACATAAATCATTTCAAGGTTAATCACACTCTTTGTTTTCCCAAATTGAAATTTGCGTAATGTTTTGATTCCCCCCCAAGCAAGCTGAGCCGGATAACAGCGAACGTGCGATAAACGTATTTATAGCAGCGGATAACGATCTCTCCTCGATTCAATTCGTTCGTTGTCCTCCGCATATAATATTATTATGATCCTTGCATTCTTTTGTAAGCTCGCATTTTATTGCTTTATTGAAGGTGGATTTTCATTTTTTTATATATATTTTTTTCAGATTAGATTAGATGTGCAAAGGAGAGAGAGAGAGAGAGCATTTATCGTCTGACCCAAATTTCCGTTTTCTTACCGTTTCTCGCCGCTTCGTTGGTCCAGATCTCGGGCAGGGAATGCAGAAACACGTCCCCGAGGAGTCCGCCCACGGCGAAGCTGAGTAAAGTCTTCAGTCGGTTGGCGCTATCTGCAGAAAAAGTCGTCAAGCAAGCAAATGTTAAACAACGAAAAACAAAACATAGATATGGTTGCTCCGGACGATGATGAGAATGAGTAGGAAAGAGAGAAGGCGACTAGATGATAGTTGTTTAAATTCGATTACGCAATATCTGTTTATGCTGTTAATTCGTTCGTTTGTTCTAGATGCGAATGCATTAAGTATTATCCGAATTCGGTGACCTTCGAATATTTCTCTCTCTGTACACTTGCAAATGAGTTATTTAAAGACAAAGTGTAAAGCAGCTGCGTGAATCATCCAGCATTTATCATCATTGACTTCTCGAAAACTATTAGGCTCTATTGCGAAACTTGGATTAATCATCATAATTGCAATTAGAAAACTGTATTTGTTGTATTTGATTTAAAGCGCGAACACATTTATTTCCGTAACCATTGATATGTGTGTGTGTGTGGGGAACGTTTCAGTAATTATCGAGATCAAAGGTCCTCCTCGTCTATATGTTTGCGCGTTGCTAGGAAACAATTATAAAGTGCATTTCGCCGAAACGCGTCCATCGCCTGGGCAACCGTCGATCAATGGCGACAGCAGCAACAGCATAGTTGCCACATGCAGCGCAGATAGTTTCATAATTAGTAATAATAGTAATCGATCGAGAGATTTGTTTTCTCTACTTTTTCCTGATCATATTGTCCTCCTCCACCTCCCAAAATCAATTAGGATGTAGTTTTTTTTTTATATTGAAATCGCCGCCTCACGTATTCGCGATTAGAAGTCTCTCACTCTGTCTCTTAGGTACGTTATCGTCGCTATTTCGTTTCGTTTCGAATCGCCCACTCGAGATTACGCTCTATTCCCAAACAATGGACAATAAATTGTTGGATGATGATGGTACTCGAAATGATACTTTCATATATGAACTCGTCGTCGTCTATTTAATAATAATAATATCTATACAAAGTCATTTCGGTCGGTTTAAATTCGTACCATCATCATGATCATCATCAAGAAGGCGAGAACTTCGCACAGTTCATTTGTTTTTCGCGTATTTTTGTTTACATCGTTCGCTCACTATCCAAGGTCGCATAGCAACGTCGTCAACTGTCTACAATTGCTGGCGTTCGTCCCGTTTGCAGAGTCGCAATTAATCGAAAAACACTGTAATTGCATCATTTCAGTTCTTTCGATCGCGTTCGATCCAATTATTTATATTCGACTGACTGATGTTCTAAAGTAGTCAACATCTATCTATGTTCGAGATTTATATAGTTGTTGTTGTTGTTTATGTTGTTGTTATTGCTCCACGGACAGCATCGATGCATCCTTATCGCTCGAATTGCAGCGAGTTTCTATTGCTGAAGGCGATTCTTCGCCAATATCACATGTCCTCATTCGCGTTATCAATTGGTGTTGAGATGTCTGCGCGTCCCGCTTAACCCCGCTTAGTAATTCCATACAAAAAAAAGTAATTGCGAAACCGTAGTCATGGTAATATAGCATTACAATGCAATTTTAAATTATTTGCTTTTTGTTTTTGTTGCTTAGCAATCGATCTAAAATTTCGTTACGTTAAATTCGAGTAGAAATCAACTTTCATTGCATTGTTTTTTTCTTTGTTTCTCTCTGTGTGTGCAGCAGATTCCGTTCATATTATTATTATTCTCAATAATTACGTAAGACGTCGAGAGAGTTTTCTCTACTGTACAGAAAACGAAAGCGCCGTTCCGCTCGTCTGCATCCATCCGTCCGTCCGTCCGTCGGGCCCTACAAACAACTCCTGGCCAACCTTGACCTACAACCTCGCGAAACAAAACAAACATGTTGCTTGTATCGAAGGTTTTGCCTTTTGTTCGTTATGTCATTGTCGTCCAGGTAGAAAAGTATTATAACAATCAGATCCGAAAACAGGAATGTTCCAAACCTGAAACGTCTCTTCTAATACATTTTTATTCAATTTGAGTGTGTTTCGTTAATTTGAATTTACCCCCACCTTCCCAAAATCTAACGTTTCCATTGGTTACTACACACCGCCATCTTTGTTATTCTCTTTGTTCAAACGTCAAATGCGTCGTTTGTTGTTTTTGTTTTTCTTGAGGCGCGCGTGCACAGTCTACGACGAGACACGAATAATAGGAAATGTAAATATTTTTGTGTTTAATCGCAATCAGAGGAAAGCAGAGTCTTCTCCACATTCATGTGTTTGTTGGTGAGTAATGATTTCGTTCGCTTTTGCTTATCGGTCGCGCTGCAACGAGGAAATGATTCCAGCTTTTTTTTTTACATCATCATCAACAACATCGGTATTTGCGCGACCCGCAGTTATCAGCACTTCCACGAATAGACTTTGTTTTGTGCATTTTTGCACACGAGAGCAGATGCGTGTCGGAACAAAGGAATTCGTTCTGCATTTTTGAATGCGTATTCGAAAACACACGTGCGCGCATTAACTACTGTCACTTTTGACGTTCAGCATCGGGTTGGACCAATCGGAATCGGCAATTTGCTTTTGTTTGTTTGTTTGTTTGTTTTCTCAATGCGTGTAAACAAACAAGACGATTGCTTGGATCTCGCGTTGCAACGACGTTTTCATTAATTGCTATGGTAACTGTTGTCATGGAAAGTTTGTTTTCTGATATCTGACTTACCGCCTTGTTTCAGGTTGTCCGTTTGGTCGATGGGGATGACGAGAAGGGGAAGGATCCCGCTGAGGCCGACGAGGCAGGAGCCGATCGCCGCCCAAAGCCAGGGCATGCATTCGGCGCTGAGGAGGACGGCGGGAAGGAGTTCCTGCATCATGATGATGCTGTCGCTGCCGCCGATCAGAAAGGACGAATCGGAGTCGTTCGATAGGAAGAGGTGATGATCCACCGATGGTTGCTGTTGCTGTTGTTGATGAACCAAGATTCCAGCACCTCCACCGCCGCCGCCGCTCTGACAATCGTGGTAAATATTTGCGGACACTGACATCACTGTTGACCGGACGCAAGCATCTGTTTCATTCACAGAACGATTGTAGTAACAATGAACACGCTATTTATCGTAGATTAAGAAGAAGTTAAACGATTGTATAACAATTCCAAACTGCAAAGTCAACGGCCCTGGTCGCTGCCGCCGTCTCCTTCTTTGTTGTTATCGCTGACGCTGACTAATCTAACGCTGAGATTGAGCCGGTTGTCAGGATAAAGAGAGCCTGTCCGAAGGGTTCCTGTTGTTGTTGTCTCGTTCGCTCCACTGGCGAACTATATAAAACTGTCTGTTCGTCTATTCGGTAGTGGCCGTTTGCGCCTTTCACACACTCATCGTCTCCGCTCAGCTGTTGTTCGAAAACTGAAATCGCTCGGTCCGCCTTCAGCCTTTTCATTGCCCCCCCACAACCGACGACACGTCCTCCTCCGCCGTCCTCCCCTCGCCTCTCAGCAACCGCACGCAGCACATGCACTCTGAACCCCTCCGATCGTCCGTCGTATTATCGCCATTCCACCAAGCAAACTAGATTTGTCTTTTGCAAATTGCTCTTGCAACAACAACAACAATAACATTCACCTTGGCAACGGAAACTATGTTCGAAAATATCATCATCGTCATAGCAACCGAATTTCCTTTGTCATTTCAATGATGATGAGATCACCCTTATTTTTCTTTGTTACTATGTTGATGTTGTTGTTGGTGGTGGAATGGTGGAGAGTTCTCGTCTCCGAAAACCGCTGCGCATCATCTCTCTTCGTTTTGCCTTTTTTCCCATCAAGCTCCGATTCTCTTTGTGTTTGCGCGCCTTTTAACCGTATTTCACATTTATTTTCGTAAAAGCAACAAAGATTCCACGATTCATCGGAACGCATATAATTATTAAGGATTTTTTTTTTGATGATTTTTAGCAGAAACGGAAACAACAATTCATTTTTAATCACTGCGATAAGTTGCAAATACAATATAATAATTGCAAACAACAAACAACAACAACAATATGGCGATGAACGAGTAGTATTAGTAGGTCGCCATTTTTATTTTGTAATTGTCGTTTCATTGTTTCTTTGAAAACGATGATGACTCGATTAGAACGCGATCTAATCAGATCATTAGATGATCGCACCTCCTCTTATACATTCTAATACAATTTTGATAAGAATGAGTATAAAATATTATTATTAATAATAATAAGCGGAAAGTTATCGCGGAAAAAAATTAAATAATTATTATTAAATTCTATAATCGGAAAACACGACGACGCGCACGAATCGAGATTATATTGTTTTATTGCTGCGATCGATTAACTATGAAGAATTCGAATGATTTGTATTCAATTTTTATCGTCGGAAAACAATTATTTACGTGCGCGATTACGAATGGAATTTGTAACAGATTATATTAATGTAATTTAAATTTTGCTTACATTGTATCATTGATACACTGTTGCGACTACTTCCTACTTGGCAAGTAGTTAAGAAAAACAGAATGACGACTTGATTCGTTAATTACAATTGGCAATTGTTTTTTTTCTCGTTGTGTGTGTGTGTGTGTGCGTCCCGGGTACTTAGACGAGAGCGTCGCGACGCAGCCTTTAATTAACTCGTCGTCGCTTCATTGTAATTTGCATACTTGCATTCGAACTATACTAATAAGAATTGAATTATATTTTTTTTTAAGTTTTGTTCTTAATTAATAACAAGGGGATATGAACTCCTGGGGGCATCTGGATATTACCACGGCGATGGGCAGGGACGATTCGGGTGGGAATTGCAAGAATAAAAAGTTGGTCAGTATCAGTATCTTGAACAACATCTCTGCACAACAATACTCGTACACGACAAGTTGACACAAAGCGAG